AGTACTCTGTCATATATGAGGACAGATAACACGTAACATTTTAGTATTCTTTTCCTTGTTTCTAGCAAAGTTTTTTTTCTATTTCTTAGTACTCTTAGCTTTTGGGATGTATCTATCCCAATACGTATTCAGATTCCAATGTGACACTTTCCGTCCTCTGTTAAAACACTTCCCAGTATTTAAATTTTTGTAGGTGTTTGATTTTGTTAAATCCGATTTGCAATTTGCATTTTGGCTCATCGTTTTGCATACTACCATACATTCTACCTTCTTGCAGTTGATGTTTAAACCTTTCTTCTCGCTTTCCTTCACTACACTAGTTTCATAAATTTCTTTCCGTGTTTTCTATCAGCAGTGTGTCATCTGCATATCTTATATTGCTCAGATCGTGTGTGGGGCTGTTTTTCTCCTGAATCTAAATCTATGCGTCCCTTTCAGAACGTAGACGATATTGGCACTCCTATCATTTGTAACTCTTAACAAAATTTGTCTTTTTACTGCCCCTTAATAACTATTCTGCCATCCATTTACACAAGATCCTTGGGAATGTTGCTCGTTGTTTTCTTCTGCCTTTTTTGCCTTCAATATATCTTGTGAGTATCAATATACCCAAGTTGTCATTCCTCACTATGTATCCCAGGAATTTAATCTCTTTCGAAGTGTAATTATGAGTGTATTTTTCCTTTTCCTTTTCCATAAAACAACTTCGTTGCTTACATGCTGTCAATGGTATTCCCAGCATTCTTCTTCATCGGGGAGAAATTGTCCAGCTTTCTTCTTTATTGGTAAACCATTCACTGATATCGGAGTATTGATATTACATAACAGTTCACCACTCTTTTCTTTGTTTCTAACGAAATTTTTGTAGTCAGTTCCTTCTGGCTTCTAATAAAGTTCCTTCAACCAACAGAGTAGCGTAAGTCAACCAATCGAACAACACGTGTCCACTACTCGTTGCTGCAATCACGCAGCTTCTTTAAAGATTTTTAAGGATTCTTTTATAGACTGAGTGACGGGTCAAATTTGTATAGATGGAAAGAGTCTCCCGAAAATATCCGACTCCAAGACCGTCTTTTTAAAAAAAATATACGACTCATAAAGCCGACATTTGCTTTTTGGGAATATTCTACATGCGAGACAATTCCGAATCCATTTTTGTCCAGCAGGTAAGTCATTTTCTCTAGTGTTACAATTTTCCTGTTTCTTAATTCTTTGCTTATCTTTTGGAAGGCCTCTTTTGCTATTCGAGTGAACCTTCGTATTTCGAAGTCACGTTTTTCATCATCTATTCAAACACTTCCATATAGTTAAATTTCGGTTCATGCTTTGTTTTGATATCTTCAATTTTTTGTTCGCATCTTGGACTGTTCCTCTGGCTATCAACCATATATTCCGCTTTCTACTAATTGATGGTTTCTCCTGTCTTCCGACTTTCCTTATTAACCTCGTCTAAGAATTCCTGCAGTTTTCTTTCTGTTTCTACCAACATTTCAGTGTCATCTGCATATCTTATGCAATTAATATTGTGTCCACCAATAATAAATCGTGGTAGGACATGTAGTTCTTTAGAATTACCTCGCTGTATAGATTGAATGAATCCAATGAAAAGACGCATCCTTGACTTTCGTCTCTTTAGATTTTTGTATACTTAATTTTCAATCTGTATGCAGAAAGTTTGATCCCAGCATATTTTCTAGATTATTCTAATACCTGTTGGAAATAAAATAAGATTTCCAAGCAGTTCAAATAGATCATCGTTTTAAATTATCGAATGATTTTGAGTAGTCTATGAAACGTAACTATACTTTCTTGGAACTGGATAAATGTTATTCAAATGTACAGATTTATAGAAAATTAATGGACAGGCTTAACTTGGCTACGATAAAGAGTCCCCAATGAGGATCAATTTATACTAACTCGTGAAACCTCTCTTTATGTTTGAAACTCTCCCTATTTATTTGTCTATACATATATATATATATATATATATCTATATATATGTTTAATTTTAATCCTATTTAACTGTGATGGCTTCTTATAGATTAATTGTTAAAATGCATATTTGATAAAGTGGTTTCCCTTAAGGAAAAGAATACAGGTTCGATTCAAGTGAATGTTCTTTAATAGGATTCCTCGATCTCTAGGCCGGTTGACATCAATTTTAGTATTTCCAAAAATGTAGGGATGTTTATTTAAACACGTGCAGTGGCTCGGGTTGAGGAATCGGAAAGGCGAGTTCGAATTCCAGTCGAATCCATTCACTTACGTACTAATACCCTTGGGAATGGTATGGATCCTCTTCTTCTCCCCCAGCCTTGGGTAAATAGCAGGACATACCGGGTTCTATAGCCTTGGATGGCAACTGATCTACCGCAGAAAGAAATGGCAACCTACTGCGGGAAATAAATCTGCCTCGTCAGTCCTGTATCGAAAGATACATGATCGACTAAGCGTGTATCACGCTTGGCACATAACTGACTGATCCATTAAATATAACGTTTAAAGTAATGAATAATGTTATATTTAAAAACTCATAAATTGTTTTAAAATTATTTGTTTACATTTCGGATACAAAAGTAAGTAGATATAGGCTTCAAAATGTCCCAACGAGAGAAAAGGTATTTCTTAAATAAGGTAATTGATTCTTACTTTGTCACGGTGACGTCTGGTAACCTAATTAATAAACGTTACACTTTGGCTTAAAATGATGGAAAAAAGGAATAAAATTTCGATTTCTCTCAGGTGGCACATCTATAGTAGGACTTGTCGATATATTAGCAGGTTGTTCATAATCTCACCGTTATGGCCCACTGGATAAAAGCGTTCATTGAAGTAACCCAAATAGTTCAATACCTTGCCACTTGCAAATTTCGGTTACTAGAGGAAAATAACTGAAACCTAGATCTCCAGAAAAGGCATGGTACGTGAAACTAAAATAATCTACCCCAGTGGACTAAATAAAGGGTTCCGTTCGAAATTCCAGCGTATATCGCATGAGGAAGGCCGGAGCGTACAACGGCCGAAACGTTGTGAATAGGGAAAGAAAGATGAAGACAATAGTCTGAACAATGTAAATAGCGTAAATATTTACAATACCCCATCTCAGAAATATAGACAGAGGGGTTCAAGCGTCTATTGTGATAGATAAACTTATATTACTTAGTCACAAGGGCACAATGAGACACCTAGTGATGTACAAAATACTAACAATGTCCTGCGTTCCATAAACATGATTCTGCAGAACGTGCCTTGTATAGTTACACATGTATTTAAAAAGCACTAAATTGCTATTTCCGAAAATGGCGTCTATTTTTTCAAGCGAACAGCAAAGAAGAAATATATATATCAAATCATTCATAATAAGACATGTCGTCCAATCCCAAAACATTAATTATTTTTAAAAGAATCTAAAAGGAAGTGATTGTTTTAACAGAGTACGGAAAGTGCGACGCTGATATCCGAAGGCGCATTGGGATAGTGAATGATGCCTTCTAAAAGCTGAGTAAAGTATTAAAAAAAAAAAAAAAAAAAAAAAAAAGAATTTCGTTAGAAACAATGAAAACAGAACTGATCTGTTACGTAATAAAAAATTTTTTCTATATATCAGTGAATTGAGAAAAGATTTGAAGCAATAGAAATGTGGTTCTACAGAAGGATGTTGTAAATGCCATGGACCGAACATGTGAGCAACGACAATGTTTTAGAGTTCGAATATTCGCCTTATGTCTCATACTTCTTTTTGAAAAAGTACTAGAGGCTCCGAATTGGTTAACCACCTTTACACAGCCTTTTTTCGGATAAACAATAGGGCTCCCTTTTCTCCAAGTCTACCCCCAATGTGGTAACGGCTATCAATGAATTCAGCAAAACGATGTTTTAGAGAAAGTGGTAACATAAAGGACACGTATACTTTACAGCAGGAAGGGACAATTGAAATTTCTAGGGCACATAATGAGAAAAAAGGGCTTGGATAATGTGAAACTCACAAGACATACTGAAGGCGAGAGGGAAAGGGGAAGACAATACGTAATCTACCTAGCGAGCTTGAGGGAATGGATGGCAGAAACAAGGTTTAGGAAAGATAAGAAAAAGACATTTCTTAATATCTACAGGAAACATGGAATAGGGCACGGTACAGCGAAGATGATAATGAAGAGTGTTGGGGGTGAGGAAGAATTTTGTTGATACATTTTTCTGCGGATTGTTATGGAGATGACAAATAGGGAAAGATAAGACGAAGTATGTGATCTTAGTGAAAAGATATAATGAGGAAAAAAAAAAGAAATGATTAAGTTGAATATGATGAGGAGAAAAGCCACGAATTTGGAATTGCGTTGGAGACCAATATCAAGCAGGAGATTTAAAAAAAAACTGTAAGAAAAAAGAAAGAAGTGGATGTAGTTAAGCGGTTAATGAGGAGAAATGAAACGATAATCTTGCTTATATTGACGACGACGATGAGGAGTAGAAAAAGAGGAATGACGTCACAGCAATGGTTGCAGAGATTAAATTAATGAGAACGAAATTGTAACGGAGTTGTCATAGTAAGATCAAAAGCAAAAGAAAATCGTGTCACAGCATTGTTGACAGATACGAATAATAATAATAATAATAATAATAATAATAAGAAGAAGAAGAAGAAGAAGAAGAAGAAGAAAAAGAAAGAGGAAAATTGCATGTCGTCGAAGCAATGAAAATAATAAGAACAATAAAAATTGATTGTTATTCTTCTTTTCCTGCTTTTCTTTTATTCTCTTGTCTAGGAATATTTGTGGGTCTGCCATTAACATGGCGTCATCTGCGTATCTTATGCTATTAAGATTGCGCCCGCTAATAATAAATCCGGGTAAAACTTCTAGTTTTCATAGGATTGCCTCGATGTATATGGTAAATAAATCCGATTAGAAGCGCCATCCTTGTCTTACATCCCTTTCTATTTTTGTATACTTACTGAATCCATTGTTTATTAGTACGTGGTTTGGAGAGGGTCCTCCTATTACATTCTCTGGATTATTCTGATAATAATAATAAGAAAGAAAGAAAGAAAGAAAGAAAGAAAGAAAGAAAGAAAGAAAGAAATGAAAGTGAACAGACTTGATACAGTAGTGAAGGAAAATTTTCTGCTCTTCGAAATGTCTATGCTCACCGAAAGATGGATCTCTCCGAAACATACAGGGAAACAGTGGATTCAACAATGTTTTTCAGCTATTTTTAACATCAACTGGCTAAAAAGCTGAATAATTTTAGCATATTCAACATTATAGATTAAAATGACGTCAAAATCCATGAAAATAGTTCATTCTTTAATAGTCAGTTGTGCTTAGTTTAACTTGTAACGTATATAAATGCAGGTAGAAAAAAAGTCAATTTTGATAAGCGAGTGTCACAAAGCACTACCCAGAATTCCTAATTAGTCTTGGGACTTCCTGTCAGGGAATTCGAAGGTAGTACCCACCGACTCTAACTGGGTACCAAAAATTTGCCTGTCACTTACTTGACCCTACCCACTTGAGGGTTTCTTCTAGACGCCTACGCACAGAGCATCTCTGTTCATGAATGGGGATAGAGGTGGGGTTATCATGGCCCGATGTTGAGAATGCTGTTGTTATTTAGTTTGAAGAATGATTCGGCCAAGTCGCTTTCGGATTCACATCTAGATATTGGGGAACAGAGGGAACCGAAACACGTTTTTGTGACTTAATGGTATTTCTTACCGAATATATTGGGATTTCTATATTTCTACCTCAGTTTCATTTTCTGGGCATAATGTTCTCTTATTTAAAAATTAGTAATATTGAAAGCTAATAGATTATTATCAGTGATTAAAGACTATAAACAGAATTGTCTTCTCATGAATAATGCAGTGGCATCAGATACAAAATCTCTCTCTCTCTCTCTCTCTCTCTCTCTCTATATATATATATATATATATATATATATATATATATATATATATAATAAATCTGGATTACCCTGAAGATTCGTTTAGGTTAAACCTGGGCAGGTTTTCCTGGCTCTTTAGGATTTATTTTAGTTATTCCCTTTACTTATCGTATTGCGCACTACGTTTTAGTCTTACTACTCGCTTGTTTGTTTGTTTTTCTCTGGACTAAAGCCAGTTGACGATTTGTTTTGCCCTGTTCTGTTGTTTTTTTTTTCTTTATTTCTTTTATTTCTAATTTTCTCCTCAGGTACCGATTTGTTTTGACATATCTACAAGTTGAGCTATCCGAGGTTTTTTTTCCAAACAAGTATTACTACTAGTATATATATATATATATATATATATATATATATATATATATATATATATATACTAATAGTTATATACATTACACCACAAGCACATCCAAGCTTAAAGCATCTCGTATTCCGAAGCGGTCTCCCATCTAAATACTGACCAGGGATGATGTTGCTTGACTAAGGTGATCATACAATAGTCGGTGTTTCAACGTGATCTGTCTGTAAGCCTCTAGTAATGGTTGGAGTTTCTATCCTAATATATTTTGTAATGTACTGTAAAAAATCATTATCTTAATTATAACATTAATTTTCCTTTTAGTCACATGTGCCATGCATTTTAGTTGTTGCTGCTGTTGGAAGTTTTCAAGTGATGTGGTGTGCTTGTTTAGTGAAGTTCTTTGTTGGTGATTCTGTAGCGCCTGCCTTTAAAATCTGACAAAAGAATGTCTTCTTTAAGACATAAAGGATTAATTTGAAGCCACTTTAATCATTGATCTGAGAATATGATTGTATGTAACGAGTTAGACGCCATGAATGACATCCGTCAGAGAGTCTAGATCTGACGAGGTTTTTTAAGGACATGATGTGTTTAATATTTCGTTTATTTTTTAACTTGCGGTCATTATCACTAGGGCAGTTAGTACTGTTGATTAATACATTATGAGGCGGTACTGAAGGCGCTTGTTCGTTACGAAAAGGTGACAGGAGCCAAGTTTAACCGCGACAAGTCGTCAGGTTTGCGGTTAGGTGCCTGGAAGGGGGTCGATCTTCCGGGGTCCTTCGGTTGGAAGGACGGTCCTGTTCGCATTCTTGGAGTGTGGTTTCGACCCGATCTCCAACTGGAGAAAAATTGGTCTGAAGTACGAGCAAAGGTCGACGCAGCCGGTCGGACTTGGCGTCGACCGAGTTTGTCTGTGAAGGGCAGGGCAGGGCGGAGGCGTGTGCCACTTACGTCTTTCCGATTGTCCTTTATCTATTGTCCGTACTTCCTATCTGTAACGACCATAGGAAGTCACTCAAGCACTCGCTAACCTCCATTTTATGGAGGGGACGCGGGAATCTGGTCTCCTATCTCGCAGGTCGAGCGCCGTCGAAAACCCCTGGATCAATCTGATTTCCTTCGCGATTTTTGGTCGGCCTTGTTGGCTGTTCCTCGGTCCAGTGACCTTTCACAGCCTAGGAATGTCTTCTATCGTCTTCTAGTCGAGCGGCTCGGCTTGTCGGAGGAGAAGTATCGCTCTTACTGGTCTTGGGCGCCAGCGATTTTCTCAGTAACCCTGAGTTGTCGCCTACCTGGCGATTGGCTCGGAATCTGCTGCCTCTCAAAGTTCTTTATATAGGGCTTGACTGTGAACGGTGTGGCCTTGGTCTGAAAGAAACGGCTTCGCACGCCTTCTACCATTGTACCGGGGTTCACCCCTTATGGGACCATGTCGGCGAGTTGACGGCACATCTCGCTCCCGAAAAGCTCGTGCTCATTGATCGCGCATACGCGTGTGACAATGTGTCGCCCCCGTATTCCGGGGTGAAACGAATGGTGTTTCTGACGATGCTGGCCACGGCCCGAATGGTGATATGGACGACGCGACAGGAGGAAGTCTTGCGAGGCAACCGTCTTTCTCATCAGGATCTGATCCGATTCTTTAAGCATCTGCTCAAGATGAAGATTAGAAGTGATAGAAAACGCTTGCATTTGACAGTCTTCTGCGAAAGGTGAGTGAAAGAGGCGAGCTTGGTTCGTGTAAACGGGGCTAGCCTTGATTTTCTATTTTAGGTCAGCCTATGTCAAATCAGGGTGGTTTCTCGCGGAGCCCTCCCCTTGGTTCGGTTATACAAGCTTAGTGTACCTAGTTAATGTGAGTAAATGTTGTTCCTAGCCTGTTCCCGGCTGCCTCTTTGGTTATGATCCAAGTCGAGATTCCCAACCTCCCCGGTTTGTTTTGGCTCCTTTTGATCACGACTGGGTCAGTTTTTTTTTTATTTCCCATCTCCGTGTATATTTTCATATTTCCCCGAGAGAGCTTCTTGATTTTGTCCAATGGGCATAATACAGTGGCCTCTCATTTTAAGGGTTGAATGGGCCCTACTGACATCAGTTACGTTTAGTTCACTTTTTGTCTATGTTTAGTTTGTTTTGGGGTTCATTCCCTCCCCTCTCATTTTCTCATCATAGATTATTAAATAAAATCAATATTATCATTAAATTTTTATGGTATGGGGCGCGTTTTGTAGGTCCCCATTGAGAGGATGTGATATTATGGTGCTCGGTGGTCTGGTTGGCGACGGACGAGTTTTTGTGTTGAATGTGCAAATTTTAATGAGTGAATGGGTTGTGAATCGGATTAGCTAGGTATAAGATAGATAGTGAAGACCAGCCTCAACACTCCCCTTTTTCGGCCTTGTACCAGAGTTGTATTTTTTATACAATATATATCCAGTCGACACGCACTCATCTGACTGACACTTCTGTCGAACTCTGCTTTTGGCAGAGATGAACCCGGACGAAGCTATGCCGAAGGGTTCTAAAGGAATATTTTTGGCCGAGCCTACGGGCTCGGAGAACTCACGGTAAACTCGGCCTTGTCCCACATACATCCCGCGTGGGGGAGATTGTTAAATTTCGACAGTCGACACGCAGTTTTCTGACTGCGACTTCTGACGAACTCTCTTCTTCGGTAGAGAGGAACCCGGACGAAGGTTTCCCGAAGGGCAGAGTTTCGTCCGGGGGGTAGACAGACCCAAACCCGCTAATGTGGGTTATGTGGGGATATTTTTGGCCGAGCCTACAAGCTTGGAGAATCCACGGTCACTCTGCCTTGTGCCACATACATCCCACATGTGGCACTGTTAAATATCGACAGTCGAAACGCAGTTCTGTGACTGTTCGTAGCTCCTGCCGAACTCTCTACCTTGGGCAGAGAGGAACCCGAACGAGACTCTGCACAGCCTCGTCCGTGGAGTTAGACGGACCCGAAACCGTTAATGCGGGTTCTACGGGGATTTTTTTTTTTTTTTTTTTTGGCCGATCGTACGGGCTGGGATGACCCTCGTTAAACTCATCCTTGTGCCACCTATATCCCTCGTGTTGTTGGGGTGGGGGATGTTAAATACTGACAGCCAAGACGCGGGAGAACAGTGATTTACTGTTCTTCCGAGTCTGTGACTGTTCATAGCTCCTGTCGAACTCTCTGCCATTCGTCTGGAAAGGTAGATAGGTCCGAACCCGTTTATGTGGGTTCTACGGGGATTTTTTTGACCGAGCCTACGGGCTCGGATGACCCACGTTAAAGTTGGTCTTGTGCCACATATATCAGTCGTGGGGTGGGGCATTGACAGTGGAGACGCAGCGTAACCTGACAATTTGGGCGGACACTTCTATCTGCTGACTAATAACACTCGTATTTTCTATTATTTGTGTTATTTCAATACACTTGTTCAACCTACCTTTTTCTTTCCGTGTCTTTCTTTCTGGTCCTTAACAGATCACAATAATTTCCGCCTGTATTCATACTCAGCCTAGTTTAGAATAATACCATGAGATATTACAATAAGAATAAAACTAAAACATTGACAAATTTAATTTTGAAACAACCGTAAGTTGAGTTACAGCATTGAGCAAGCAAATCGCTTTATTTTGATCAGCGAGATTAACAACCAAAAAATCCATCACACACAGAGGCACTTTTTGTTTGCACACACAGTTTGTATTCATATATGTGCATTTGTGTCTGCGCTCAGAATATATATATATACAGTAGCGTCCAAAACTAAGGGACAAAATTTTTAAAACCTAATATTTGTTAGAAATAACAACTGTGAAAAGCTGAAATTTTGACAACTGGTAGTCGTTATCATCCATAATAACATACTAAAATTTGAATCATTTGCAAAGGATAGAAAAAGATTATAACAATTATTTATTTATTTTCAAAATAGGATCGTCCAAAAGTAAGGGACAAAATTGAGAAAAACAATGTAAACAGTATGCTATATTCAAATCTTTTGATTTCCTCTAAAGAATAAGTCTTACTTAGTCATTTGTAAACGTTGCATCAGCCGGCACCATGGCGAAACGCCAAAAACTTGATTACTCTGTGAGACAAGCTATTGTGAAGCTACACAAGGAAAAGCACACCATTAGAGAGATTTCAGAGAAAGTGAAACGTTCCAAGAGTGTTGTAGGCAGGGTTGTTAAATCCTACAATGATACTGGCAAAATAGTTAGTGCTTTTAAAACCGGCAGACCCCGCAAAACTTCGGCAAGAGAAGATCGAATAATGCAGCGTATGTCATTAAAGGGCCGTTTTAATCTTGCACAGAAATTAAAAGGGTTATGAATAGTACCTCATGTGTTACTGTGTCAAGACAGACTGTTTGTAGACGACTGCAAGAAATAGGGCTGTTTAATTGAACCCCAGGGAAGAAACCACTTGTTAGTTCGAAGAATAAGAAGAAGAGATTAGAGTTTGCAAACAGGTATGTAATTTGGACATATGAAAATTGGGCAAAAGTATTTTTCAGTGATGAAAGCAAGTTTAATTTATTTGGAAATGATGGAAAAACAATGTAAAGAGACGTATTGGTGAAAGATTAAGTGCAAAGTGTACTCAGAAAACTGTCAAGTTTGGGGGCGGAAGCGTCATGGTATTTGGAATGTTTTCTAGCCAAGGTACAACGCCTCTTGTCCGGTTACAAACTCGTGTAAACGCGCAGATCTATAAAACATTGTTCAAGATCATGTTGTGCCAATCATACAGAATTCAGGTTTCGATAGGGCTACCTTTTATGCAAGATAATGCCCCATGTCACAAAGGCAAAGGTGGTAATGAGTTACCTTAGCGAGCAAGATTTGGAAATTATGGATTGGCCATCGCAAAAGTCCTGACTTAAATCCAATAGAAAATCTTTGGAAGACCTTAGCAGTGAAAGTTATGGAAAGAAATCCCCCCAACACGGAGGATTTGTGGGTGAAGGTTCAAGAAGAATGGTCTAAAAATTAGTATCGAGGATTGTCAAGAACTGATTCGTTCTTGTAGTCGAAAATGTGCAGCTGTCATTGAGAGCAAGGGCTCATTTACTAAATATTGATTGTATATGTATTTTATTGCTTTTTGCCGTTTACATTGTTTTTTCTCAATTTTGTCCCTTACTTTTGGACGTTCCAAATTTGAAAATAAATAAATAATTGTTATAATTCTTTTTCTATCCTTTGCAAATGATTCAAATTTTAGTATGTTATTATGGATGATAACGACTACCAGTTGTCAGAATTTCAGCTTTACACAGTTGTTATTTCTAACAAATATTAGGTTTTAAAATTTTGTCCCTTAGTTTTGGACGCTACTGTATATATGTGTGTGTTTGTGTATATATATATATATATATATATATATGTGTGTGTGTGTGTGTGTGTGTGTGTGTGTGTGTGTGTGCGCGCGCGTGTATGTGTTTGTATGTACGCTTATATGTGTGTGGAACCACGTTGAAGAGTGCAATAGATTTTAGTGATATCGCTAAAACCCTCTATAAATGTTTTGTGTATTTTGTAGGCTCCAGATTTGGATTTGTATATTCCTATATAATAATAAATCAAGGACATCATATGAAACGCGCTGTGGCCTTTGAATTTCCAAACAAGCTTTATCGTCTGTTTCGAAAATTTGAAGGCTCATTCCAGAAAATGATCAATATTTTTCATCCTTAAATACATATTTAAAAATTGGGAAAGTATTTATTAACAAATAAAATTATGAGTTTGGTAAAATCAAAATTTTCGTTTCGGGGCCGATTTCTCGGTTATAAAAGCACTCGTATTATTTCGCAAGAATTAGCTTTGCAGTTAACCTTTGACCAGAGGTCGTTGGTTTGCTATACAAGCTCAGATTCTCAAACTTTAATTAATAACTCACAAACATACAGACTGAATTTTGCTTACAAACGTAAGCAGTATTATTAAGACGTCTTCTAGGCTTGCTGCTACTATGAAATTAAACGCATACATAAAACTACGTAAATACTCTCATTCTCAAATGTAGACACAATTGTTTCTTCTATACCAACGTGGTTGTATTTTAACAAAAGAAAAACAGAATAATATTTTGTAATTTTGTTTCGCAAAAAGTCTTTGCAATTCCTTTATTTCAATTTGAAAGAAACCTAATACTCAACAGTAAAAATGTATTTAAATTTGTAGAGCCTTGTTTGAATATCTCGTTATTTCTTCGTTTATCCACGCCTTTTTCCCTACACACACAAACAGATAAACACAAGCATATATATATATATGTATCTGTGTGTATAATGTTCTGGGGATTTCATGGTGAAATATATATGAGTAGAGAGAGAATTAGTAACAATGATAAAAAAAGAGTAAAGTATCTATGTATCTGTATGCATGAGATATCAAATTAACAGATATATTTATCAAAATTACACAGTATCTTGAAATACTACAGAGTAGATTTATTAAATAAAATCGCCATTGGTTTCATTCAGGGCCTCAAGATAACTTCGGAATCACCTGTACCTCTTCTGGACAGTCTCCTTGTTAAAGTTGTGAATGCTGCGATAATCCTTGCCTTCAGAGTTCATCTTTGGTGTTAAAAGAAGTTGTTTTTGGTTTCTCGCTCAAATGTACTCCACACATAATAATCAAGGGGGTTATAGTATGGGGAGTTAGATGGCTAGATGTAAGGGGTGATGTGGTCGTAGAAATTATCTTGCAGCTATGACTGGGTACTCGTGCTTGTGTAGCACGGTGCAGAGACCTGTTACCAGATATAGGATCTTCCAACAGTCATCCATTTGATCCATAGCAGCACGACCTCCTCAAGAAACTTCATATAGGCCTCCGTGTTGAGTATGACATTCGGGAGTTCCTTACTTATCAGAACGATCAATTGTACCTATATAACCGCCATTAGACTCAACCAACACTTTCTGTATCCTCTGTATTGACCTCAGATTGACATCCAAATACTCTGAAATGTTCGTATTTGAGCTTCCGGCGAGAATGCCAAGCAGTGCAACATGCCATTTTCAAATTTCTAGTGGATTGAATTCCGTCATGGTGGTCATTTTTTCACAGACGGTGCACAAATGACCCTGCTATAATGTGCAGTCGACAAAGTAAAAAAAAGAACAACGCACAAGCGGGAAATAAAAATATCACATGACGAAAATTTACCCCTCACAATATATATATATATATATATATATAGTGTTACTTTCAGAGTCTGTTTTTGAAGACAATATTGCTGATTTTTCAGTGTTTTGCTGATAGAAGGGCATTTAATGAAAGCAGGTTTTGTACTAGAGTGCTCAATACCGGCGAAAGAGATGGAGCGTTAATAGAATTAAAATGAAACGGTTTTTTCATTTAACTGAGATGTGGGACTCCTCTTCGGAGTGTAGGTGGACTATTCTGCGTATACATACATACATACGCACACACACACACACACACATATATATATATATATATATATATACGTGCATATATATGCACATATATGCACGCACATATACGTATATACATATATATACACGTACATATAAATATACAGATACACACACATATATATGTATACATACATACATATATATCTACACACACACACACATATATATATATATATATATATATATATATATATATATATATAATAAGATGCATCCATATCAGTATATGAATAATCAGTATACAGAAAGACGCTTTGATTTTCAAAAGAATGTAAGAAATGACATTGATGTGAAGATCCTGGCTGAATTAATGATGTTCCTTAAAACATGAAATTAAGATTTGCACCAATTTCAAAAGCTAATTACTTCGACAATAATAACCTCTCTGCGCTTCACCAAGATGAAATTTACATAAAAATAAAAAAGCAAATAAATAAATATGTAGCAAACTACAACATTCTTATTGTTTTATAAGTTATTCCGCTTCTTTCATTTTGTAAGTGTTTATTTCTCTCTTTATATTCTTCACTTATTCGGAGCCTATTCTGCTTGACTTCTGCTCCGATCTGAATCCGATGTTATAATTAGTGATAATGACTTCCTTCTGATGTTAATTTTCAAGTCATAATGATATTTGCATTTTCCTTTCTTTTATATTTATTTCGCTCCCTTAACCTCCTCCTTCTCCTTACCAGTTTTCCTTCAGATTCATCTTTATTAACCTTTCTCTTACATCAGTCTCCCCACTCTCCCAGAATGCTTCTTTTGTATTTAAAATAAAAAAAAAATGAGATAGGTTATCTTATTAAATCTCGTACAATTCTGGTTCTGTTTTGAGCTGAAATTTGTGGTTACGTTTTTTCTTCTATATGTATTTAAAAATAACGTACAGACTACGACAGAATGGTGTCCACTAAAGCACGAGGAAATAATTTTAAACTTCAATGTTGTTATTGTTTTGAGCTTTACATAAAGTCATTACTGTCTTATAAGTAGATATGAAAAGACTGATAGATAGATAGATAGATAGATAGATAGATAGATAGATAGATATGAACTGACAAAAAGGTATGAACAGACTGATAAATATGAAAAGATAAATATAAACAGATAGATAGATAGATAGATAGATAGATAGATAGATAGATAGATAGATAGATAGATATGAACAGAAAGATAGGTATGGAACAGATAGATATGAAAGGATAGATAGATATGAAGAGATAGATATGAATAAACTGATAGATCGATAGATGTGTACACTCTGATAGATAGATAGATAGATAGATAGATATGAACAGACTAATTGATATGAACAAACTGGGATAGATAGATAGATAGATAGATAGATAGATAGATAGATAGATAGATAGATAGATATGAACATAGAGAGCTTGATAGATATGAATAATCTAGAATTAAAGCATAATAATCTATATCTATAGTAATTTCTAAACATTTATTTAATTTTTCATTTCTTCTAGAATTAGGTTATCATCTCTACTATCCAACAGCGGGTCTTTTATAGTGCATTACAGTTTTCAGTTAGGAAAATTTAGAAAGTGGAAAGTTGGTTTATTCAGGATCTTCCTCTAGAGAAATGAACACAATATCCCACTGTATTCAGCATTTTTTTTTAAACCAGGGATGCTAACCTCTTATGTTTCCATTGACTTGTTACAGATGATGAAAAATGTCTTTTGCATCCCACAAAAAACAAGACAGTAGCCATCCATAAATGAGAAACTGTAGCCATCATAAGAACCAGCACTAGAATTACAGATGTCCTTGCTTTCTGTCCGGTGTCATACGAAAGTTGTTGTCTATTAACCGCTACGGCAACATGAAAGGGTCATTACTGCAGATGGTTATTTTCATCAACTCAATCGGGCAGTCGAAACATTACGTCGGAATTGTCCTGCTCTTGTAAACAGAAAATGTGTTATTCTTCAGCTTGACAATGTAAAAACCCCAGAAATAAAATCGTTAGTTTAGGCTGGTTTTCCACATCCCCTAACAACTACAGATTTTTATTCGCTTCAATAACTAGATATCATAAGTGGCAAAGTATTCAGAAACCAAGAAATTGAAAATAAATTTCCAGAATTTTTCGCGGAGAAATACTAAGGTTTCTTTAAATGTTGAATAACAAAAATTACCTTCCTATTGGGTTGCAGGCGATTACATTTCGAGAAAAAAGGCGATTACATTTCTTTTAATATCTCTATATTTCTGAGATGAGGTATTGTAACTATTTACAAATTTTACCTCGTTCGGACTCGTTGCTGTCATATTCACGACGTTTCGGCCGTTGTACGCTCCGGCCTTCTTCACGTGATTTACGTTGGAATTTCGAAATGAACCCATGAGGGTACATTGTTTTAATTCCACATAGCTTTTGTTTAATAATCTAAAAAGTGACTTGACTCAAAGAATTGCTATTTCAATACCTGGTCACAGCAGAGGGAACAAAAAACTTAGCGAGTTGACTTATAAAAAGAATTAACTAAAAATGAGACATCCGAAAAAGGTATGGCACGTGGAACTAGAACAATCTACCCTAATGGACTAAATAAAGCGTTAAGCTCAAAATTCCAACGTATATCACCTGAAAGATGTCTGAACATACAATGGCCGAAACGTGAATATGGCAATAAAGATGGGGACAACAGTCCGAACAATGTAAATAGTGTAAATATTTAATACTTTTAATGCATAAAAACATATTTATCACATTTTAAACTTGTGTCAACTCCTATACCGGAACTACATCTACAAATGCCCTTGCCTTGTGTTTGGTAGAATTTGAAACGTGTCGTTCATTACAATCTACAGCAACCCGGAAGAATCATCATTCAAGAATATTGCCAGCAAATCAATCAAAGCATTACACAGAAAGTGCACTGATTTGGTAAAAAGAAAAGATATTATTCTATTGAGAGATTTCTCCAGTTTGAATAACTGGTACATTACCCCCACCATAGAAACGGAACGTCTCGGGACATTAATGAATTCTTTATAAGTAATTAAACCATAGCAGAAGATGTAACTTGTTTAGGCTGCGCGTCAAGTGCGCTAAGAATGATGATAGCTGAGAAGAAATTGATAAATTGATGTTTACATGAAGTGAAATTCACGTTAGTGAGAAAACCAGTTTAAATCAAACCCATGCTCATCAAGATTAGCTGAATGGCTAGCGCACGGCAGCATACTTTAAACTAAACTCAGTAGGAAAATCAATAAAGGTGGAACTCATTAGAAACAGACCATTTGCTTTGCTTTGCTTACAGCAAACATACGAAAAAGACACGTTATTAAAGTAGCTTTCTTCTTGAAGTGATTCATCAGATCATTCAAAAGCTTCAAATTCAAATACTTCAACGTATATTCTTTTACGTGCGACATTTTTTTTTCAAATAGTGAGGCTCTACATAATTTTCTATTTGTTCTTCTATGTAATTTCCCCCCTTTACAATCTCTCCTCGTTTTGCTTTCCATTGTTTTAAACCCTTATTGTGTTTAATGTATAAATGAAACTTTAACATGGGTATCTATTCTAAGTAGTAGAAAAAATATACATATAGTACTAGATTGACTGAAAGGTTTCGTTATTTTACAGCTGAAATGACTAGATGTAACCGTCATTTCTATGCTATCAGTTTCCTCTATTACATTTCTCGCTTGTGAAATGCCTTCCAGGGTGTTCCAATAACTTGGACCGATTTTAAATGTGAATTAAGTTTAAGCGACTAATGATTTTTTTACCTTTTCTTTCAGATTTGGCGGACATTTGGGTGATATTATTTTTCACACATAATTGCCATGACTTAAATAACATGATCCAATAGAGAAATAAATTTTCACAAATAACACTGATTTATTTACTGCTGAGTTTAATCCGTCTTAATAAAACACCCTTATATATAATCCGTCTTAATAAAACACCCGTATATATAATCCATCTTAATGAAGCACCCTATATATATATATATATATATATATATATATATATATATATATATATATATATATTTTATTTTGAGATTAGTTGGCGTATGCATGGTGCGTAAACACCGGCCATATTTGTTTCTCATCTTAGTCTTTCCTAGGGGGTATAAATTTTCTCATTACAGCTGCCGACCGCCTGACGATTGCCTGAACGCATGAAACATATAGTAGCAGTCGAACTGTATACACCGGAATGGTGATTCTTTGTCTAGGAACGCTCTACAATATTGTATGGTTCCGAGTACTTCCGATATATATATATATATATATATATATATATATATATATATATATATATATATATATAGCGAGAGAGAGACAGAGACAGAGACAAAAAGTGATCCGCATTTAGACATTCACTAGGGTTTAGAATATATTCTCAATGAATAAGTAGCGATCATCGGCCTTCACAACGACCTGTCTTTTGTTTTAAACGTTTCATCCCTTACTGTCCTTGTTTGTCTTTATTCTGCCACTCCTGTGCACAACCAATTGGAGTAAAGTGCCATGCAGATTTAAATTTTCCCACTTGTGACGAATGCAGCTATCGATTTTTCTTGCATGCTAGCATGCCAGTTAACATTCATGTCAGTCAGCTGTTGGCTCTCACGCTGGCCAATAGAATCTCCCTGCCTATTCGTGGCAGCCAGGTATAGGCTCTCACTCTGGCCAGTAGAAAACTATATGAAAACTGCCGTAGAAGCATGAAAAAATCGATTATTTCCACTATCGATGGGAGATGGGAAATGCAATGTCGATCTTGGCGTTCCCGCTAACCTGGAGCATGTGCATGTAAATTTTGGTGCAAATCCGTCAAAAATTGCGGCCGTGCATTCGTTACACACACACACATACACATCCTGCTTTTTATAGATAGAGATTCAGTGCAATATAGTAAATTAGTACATAGGAATTCCAGACTTTTTTTTAATTTGTTTCTAAGTGTTTTTTCCTGTCACTTAGTAATCTTTTCACTTTCGAGAAAGTAACTTTTGCTATTCCTATCTGCTTTGGGATTTGTGTGTTACATTTCCCATCATCTGTTATGACACTACGAAGGTCCGTGTATTGTATACTGCTGGCATATGTGGTGATCCTGCTATTCATCTCGAGGTTTTTGACAAAATTCCAAAGTATCTGTAAGATAATCGATCCTTACCTGGCATCTCGACTTCACTCCTTTCCTCACCGACGTGACGTGTCTTCCCTCTGTCTTTTCTACAAATATTTTCATGTCAAGAATTTTTTTCCATGGTGCCCCGAATACATGAATGTAAGAGTGCTACTTGATCAGTATCAAGGTCCCAACTGCTTACCGTTGAAATACCTAAATTCAGTCGCCACTTCTACTCCAACAGTTTTTCTCGCACTTCCCACTTGTGGAACTCCCTTCCATTTACTTGCTTTCCTGATTACTACAATCTTTAAAACATTAAATGCAACGTCAATCGCCATCTTTTATCTTCTTAAACCCTGTTCTTCTTTTGCCCTTTCCTCAATCCTCCCTATACTCAGCCTTTTCTCTCACTTTCACTCCTTGTAACGCCCTATGTACTAGTGGCATCTTCGCCTTGCTTGGGGTGAAATGATTAAAAAAAAATGTCAAATCTCCACATATTGTTCTTGTCCGACCGTCAACGACTAAGCCAGCTCCCTTGCCTCACTTCGGTAGTGACGAAGTGGGGATTTTAGAGACCTTGCAGGAAGAAAGATCGGTCGTACCAAAAACAAGATGAATTCAAAGAGCTAACAGTATTTACTTTTTAAAGTGCGATGTTATCTCAGCTCTAATTAATCTTTTCGGACTAGGAAAGATAGCCTGAATAGTTGATACTTACTCGACCTCGAATTAATGGAAATATAAGCAGAATTTACAGTAAAAAAAGACAACGGTGATCGGAAGATAGCACAAAAGATAAAGCAAAAGATTTTAAAATAATTCCTACAGCCTCTCTTTCTTTTAATTATAAATGATTTATTCTCTTATTTATTATATTTGCCTTCTTTTTTTTTTTGCAAATATTTATTTTTCCTCTTGTTTTCTTTCGTTTAAACCACTCCTTTTTTTTTCCTTGTTACAATTCTACAAAAAGAAAGCATTGAAAGCGTTCTCTTCCTCTACCCTTATATCTTCCCCCACCCCGACACAACTAATTCTTCATTTTATCTTCTTCTTCTTCTTCTGTTTTTTCTTTCTGTCTTTCTCCTCGTTTCTTACTCTACTTATTATTTTTCCTTTTCTTGGCTTATTCTTTTTTTTTTTTTTTCTTTTTTTCTACTTTTTTGCCATCTCCTTCATTTTCTTTCATTTCCACCACTTCTGGTTTACTGCTTCTTTCCTCTTTTTCTTCTTTTGCCTCCTTCTTGCCTACTTCTTCT